AATACGTATAACTTACGTATAATAGTATAGACTATAACGAAGTTAATTAACGTAACTAGTAATTACTAATTAGACTAGAAAAAAAAAAAAAAGAAAATGCAGCTGAAGAGAAAGAAGAGGAAGAAGATGATGCAGCTGAAGAGAAAGAAGAGGAAGAAAATGATGCAGCTGAAGAGAAAGAAGAGGAAGAAGATGATGCAGCTGTAATTGAAGAACAAGAAGATAAGAAAAATGGAATAAAAAAGGAACATATTATCAAGAGTGACACCACGGATACGGAAGTAGTGGACGGATTGGAGCTTTCAGTGGAATGCGCGAGTGAAAAAGAAGAACCGAGTTCTGAGAACGAAGATGAGAAAGATGCAAAACCACGACCAAAGACAATAATCGTTAAAGCTGAACCAAACAAGTCAGAATTGGAATGTAGTTCATCAGAAGAAGAAAACGATTCGCAAGAAGCCACTGACATACCGGAGAATAAATCAGAAAGAAAGAAGAGAAGAGGTGCGCGAACAAGTTTCAATAAAATAAAGGGTTCCGGATCTGAGGACAGCCGGAATAACAATTCCGATGAAGATTACAGTCCACGGATGAAAAGAAAAATGAAGAAATCTCCGGCGGTGGGGAGATCGACGAAACGCTTAGTGGAATCGAGAAGAGGACGAAATGGAAATGGAAAAAAGAATTCTTACAAAAAAGGCACTCAATATACGTCTGATGATAAAAATGCGGACACGACTTTAGCGGAGAAAGCTGACAAATTGGCGAAAAATGAGATGGAAGAGAAATTGTCGGAGAAGGAATTGTCGGAGAAGGAATCTTCGGCGGATAAGAGTGAAAGTGATAATAATTCCGAAGATGAAGAGAGACCCACAAAGGGTAAAAGAACAAGTCGCAGTAATGTTGTAAGTAACATAGTTTATTATAAATCTTTTACATATGCGACTTGCTAAATGTTTTAAAAATAAATTATAAAAGAAAAGTCAATCTTGGGCCTTATTAATAAAAATTATTAAAAAATAAATTGGCTATATTGACCCAGAGCCGGGTGTTAGATGCTCAATAAATAATAATAACTAAAATGTCAATTCAAACGTTTCGGCACATTTATTTCGGCCATCTTCAGTGATAATATCAAAGCAAGTAAACAAACGTTACAGAGGAAACATGAAATAATAAAACAAGTATGTTCCGTAAGGCTAACGCATATCGGTTGGAAAAATTTTTGAACGCTCGTTGTAAAATAAAATAAAATAAAATATAAAATGTAAATTAAAATAAATAGTAATAAAATAATACCGCAAACGCAAAGTCATCGTATAAGAAATGCAGGTTAGGAGATCTTACTTGAATGTCCATGATATAATAAAATGTATAAGTAAATGTGTCTTCAAATTCGAACCAATTATAAATCAATGTGTTCTAGTATGCGACATGCACAGCAACGCTCGGAAGACATTTTTCTTTTTGCCACCCTTTCCTTATGTTTAACGGATTGCAAAAAATGAGAAGCCGACGAGTGATCGGTCAATCTATGAGAAATATGAATAAAAGAAATAAAATAGAGACTATTATAAAAATGTGAAACGAATTTAACCCAACAACATGAATGGAAAGACGTTAGTCACATAAAATGCAAGAAAACAGAGCAACATTTACCTTTGATCTTAATAACAGTTGAAAATAAGAAAGTCCAAAGATTAAAAGGTCTGATAAAATGTTTTGGTGTCCCATTAGAAAGTTGAAGTCCTTAAGAATAGAATAAAACTTTGATATGTCCATTCGGATATATGTCAGATGAATGAATGATGAAATTGAATTGAGAAAAGATTTTGGTAGAAGGACAAGGGGCCGATCTATTAGAGGAAAAGGGAAGGGAAGTAAGGAATATGGAAGAGTGGAGAAAAGGAGGGGGATCTGGAAAGAGTCTAAAAGGAGGGAAATTTGCGAAGGATGGGTAGGTAAGAGTTAGGAAGGAAATCCGTGTCACTTTGTTTATTAAGGCTATTCTGTTGTTTTTTTATGTGTAACATTTCTGAAATTAACCTTTTGCTATAAGATGGTTCTCTATCTAAAACCTCGATTTGATCCCATTCAAAATCATGATTGTGTTCTAATCTATGGCTCGAAATGGTAGAAGGAGAACCAGATCTTTTATTAATGTCACTGCGATGCTCTTTGATTCTAGTTCGAAGTTGTCTCTTTGTTTGGTCTTACATAAGAGGCATCACAATCATGA